TGTATATATATATATATATATATATACATACAGACACAAGCGGCAAGAAAAGAAGAACCCCTGTAATGCAGTCTGGTAACGTAAACACCCAAAATTTATGGGGACGTTGACGACATTGTACTGGAAGGAATTTCCAATATTAAATCTCAAGTAATTTTATTGTAGGGCCCCTTTTTGTTGATTGGATTAGTCTTTCTTGGAAGTGGGCATCCAGGAGCCAGGCTGGAACGCGTTTGCAGTGCTGGTTGGTTCCTCGTTGAATTCTTGCTTGTCGAAGCTGGTGGCAGCTGCGTGGCCCTTGGCCGCAGTCCTTGCTGGAGTCGCCACCAGACCCTCCTTGTACTCTTTAGCCAGCAGAGCCCGATCTTTCTCCTCCACCTCCTTGGCTTTTGTTTTTATCTGCTCCCTGTTGGACTCGTTCTTCAGCAGCTCCTATAAAATGCACAAACATACGTGGATACTCAGGGTTTCTGCAGCCATCGTCAAATTCTAAGACATTTTCAATACTGCACACAGTGCAGCTGAACACCATTTTAAATGTCACAGAATAATGGAAATCCCATGAGGATATTTCTGACTAATAATAATAATAATAATAATTCAAATAATACTTGTATCAGTGGTTTCTAGATATAGACTATAACAATAATAATTAGAAGCAATAATTCCCCTGACCAGGACTCAGATAAATGTCATAAGCTTATTCATTTATTATATAATAATTTACCCTATTATGCTTTTAGAGAGGCTGAGGCTCCAGGTTTTGTAAATGGATAAGCAGTCTGAAGTCTGGGGGTCAAGCTCAGACTTCAGACTGCACTTATGTCTCTGTTTCTTACAGTTTTTTTTAATTCTCAGCTCTCTATGATGTCAGCGAGAGCGGGTATCCTGGATGCAGTGAGTTTAGGCAAACAGCTCTCTCTTTAAGCCCAGAAGCCCCAAACACTTTTAACGTTTACTTGTTTGCAAGCAGCAACCAATCAGAAGAAAGCTGGCTTTAACAAAGGAAATAGATTAACTTCAGTCAACATTTTCAGGACTAGCTGACTAGCAGTGTTTTCTGCAGGTTTCAGCTCAGTGAAACTCAACAGAGAAAGAGAAGATTAAAAATAGACCACTTCTGCTTTGTGAATGTATAACACTGCACTCTTTGGAACCTCTTAACAATAAGTTACAATGAGCTCCTGAGATCACGAGGGCACGCAACATCTCTGACACTCTATCCATTTGCATCACCCACCCAGCTGGACATTATCTGATTGTGGTGTTGGAAATCTTGAGCTGGCAGTTTCGTGAAGATAGGAAAATCTGAGTATGTCCTACTTGCTGGAAACGACAAACTCTCCTGCAAAACTCAAGCGGTGATAATTTCCACTCCTTAATCGACTATCTCTGTTTCGTCTTAGAGCGTCAGCTGCTCACCAGTCAAAGTTAAAGGAGAAATTAAGCTGCACTGGGAAGCTTCCAGGAACAAATGTGTGCACGTGTCCAGTATGAAGTAGGGCATTCACCAGAAGAATAACAAACGTGTTCAGTTAACCTGGATTGGTCCAATAAAACCTGGTTAAAAATGTAGTACTTGGAACACATCGGTAAGCTAACATGACAGGAGACATTCGCAATATAAACCACTCCATGGAAACAGTTATAAACTGGTCACAGTCCACTGGTGGAATAGTTACCCACTTGAGCCACTGTTAGTGTCCAGTGATGTTAGCCTCGCCCTAGCTCAAGGAGCCAGAAAGGAAGGGAGGAATGGGCATAATGCTGTTGTGTGCTGGCTGAAATGAAGGACTGGAAAAGAGAGGGGAGAGCTGTGGCCAAAAAGCCCTGCTTTGGGGAGGGAGACAAACATACTGAGCTGCTTTTCCAGCCTGTTAATGACAGGATTTAATCCAATCAATTTATGTCGGCTTGGACCGGGAAAAGAGGGAGCGTGACAAGGGGTAGGGTAATGTGCGGGGAGTGAAGCCTTGGCCACATCAACACTGTCCAGCTGTCGATGGCAGCTATTGGGCAGACGCGAGGCAGAAAATTGGAAGAGAATGTTCTGGCAGTAGAGGCAGAGGATGGCATTGGCTACTGGCAGGCAGAGTGGACAGAGAGATAGAAAGAGTGCCTGGGTATTGGCCTTCCAAGGGATTTCCTATAGACCTACATTTCACAGGCCAAATAATTTCCAGCATTCTCACATTTAAAGAGCAATAAACCCAGTGAGAGGTACACAAGGGGGAAAAACTGCACTCCTTCACCATTCCCATATCACAGGCTGCCAGAAATAAAACACAAAAAAGGCGAGATGCAGGCTTCTGCTGGAAAAAAAAGGAGAAAGAAAGTAAACTAGGACATGGTGTCAGTGAGCCCCTTGTTCAGAGGCTGATTTTGCTCTCAGCCTCACCATCAATGCACTTCAGCTGCTGTTTATTTTAACACCTGTCCCCCAAAGTTCCCGGATTCAGTTCGAGACTGTAAGATAAAACAAATCAAAGCCTTTCTCCTTCCCATCTTTGCTTCTTTCCCTCCCTTGTAACCAGTCCCCCAGAGTCCAACCATCAGCACAGTGGGGAGGCTGGGTGGAGACGTACCTCGATGGAGGGGGGCTCCTTCCGTCTGCCTCGGATCCAAGCTGGAGGAGAAGCAGGAGGAGGAGAGAGCAGAAATAAGACGAGTGAGAACACCCACACAAACATATGCTGCACAAACACAACCTGCAGTCATATTTAAAAGCTGCAACTATAGCATCACAGAGTTTCGGGGGCACTTCAGTAGCTCAGCGTAACTACCGGGTAACCAAACTAGCTCGGGGACTTTTTTTGGTTTGTTTTGTTTCATTTTACTTAGCACACTATAGGGAAAACATCCAGAGTTATACACATGGCAAACTCAAAACACTAATACTGCTTTAGTGTAGGCAGAACAGGGCCATCGGGCTCTGCATCTCAGAGGGGAAAGAGGGGATCTGCTCTGATCTTTGAATTTGAAAGCACACACTCTGTCATTCTTCATCAATACCTCTGTCCTTCTTCTTCCTCCCGAGCAGAACTGTGTCTGTCTGTCCCCCCCCCCCACACACTTCTTCTTTTTAAGAAGCTCTATTTTGGCTGAGCTGGCTGCACAGCACAGAAGGGTAAAGGGAGCCAGCAAGAAAGAGCGAGAGAGATTTTGTAACTCTTCCTCCAGCTAGCACGGGGATTCTGGGCCTCTTTTATCCCTTTCTTATTTGCATCCTGATGAAAATGCATGAGGGATGGGGCGAAGCAGGATGAGGGGTTTAAGGTGGATAAAGCCAGTCTGAGACAGAGGGAACAGTTTGTATCCAGTTGTAAGAAATTTGAAACACTATTTTATGGTACGGTTGTATAACACCAGCAGAAGGCATCTTTGATAAACTCATGAATACCCTTTTCACAACCCCGCCCCCCAACTCCATCTTGCAGTTTGGGGGAAAAGAAAAAAACAAATCAGTGGATTAGCTGAGGCCCCAAAAGATGCAACCATGAATATGTCACTCCAGTTTATTTGTGCAGCACTTTTTTTTCCTTTTAAATAAACTCTGCCGGATAGCTCTTTTTGTAAACACTGCCATTTATCCATGTTAGTGATAGTTAAAATATGTAACAGTGATGCTACTGCCCAGACTTACCGTCCCACTCCATCGGAATGCTGCCTTCCATATATTCATATTCTTTAGCATTGGCTGCTTCTACTATCCGCTTGGCACGGACAATCCTTCCTGGAAAAAAAAAACAAAAGCAAAGAAAAAAAAAAAAAAGAGACAGCATGAGGAAACAAGAGTGAGATAGAGACGCCCAACAACGATGCATACAAAACGCGAAACAGGACAAACACAAAGCGCGGACACAATGCTCTCAGTCTCCTGCTCACGCAGACGCACAGATACAGACAGACACACAAATACGCAGAGGGATGACAGCGCCGTGACAGGCCATGGATGATTACCTCGCGGCCCTCGGGCCCTTCTCCTCAGATCTTGCTGAGTGGCTCTAAATCTGGGCTAAGCCTTTATGCAAATCAGCCTTCCTTTAAACCAACCAACCACAGCCCTCCTCACTGACAACCTCTTCCAATCACAGCTCTCCGGCTAACAATGCCCTCCAAAATCAACATCAAGCCGAGCGGGAGACAAAAGAGGTCAGATATGACAGAGAACAGGAGAGGCACGAGCTGCGTGGAATATTAAGTGCTCCTTTCCCTATCTGTATACAGCACAACGCTCGCTAGCAGCAAGGCCACCGCCAATTATTTTGGACAAATCTGCTGATTAGACAAGTCGGGCTGGCACACAATGACACGGAGATGGTGGCAGGAGCAACGGAGAGTGATATAGGCAGAATAAGAGAGAGAGAGAGAGCAAGAGAATTTAAAAAAAAAAAAAAAGACCCAGTTGTGTATGTCTTTGGGTGGTGCTACAGAGCGTCACACAGTGTTCACTAATAACAAGCGCTGTGTTTCCATAGTTTCTCCTCACAGGTAGCCGGGTGTCTATCCTATCGCTTCCATCCCTCTGAGAAATGATGAGGCAAAAGAAAGAGGAGGTGGAAGGAGGGAGAGTGATGATGCATGGCAAACATGGCTAGAAGGAGAGAAATGGATGGGCAAGGAAAAACAACACGCTCCAAAACACAGACAATCTGTCAGGAATCCATCACAGTTTCTCCGCAGCTGACTGGACATGGACAAATGGAGGCAACCACCTCCATGCACACTGCAGACTGATGGCCTTAATGTTTACTTCAGCCATAACAGATAGCTATGGCACTGGGATGGATAAATGATGACATCCTGGAAATAAAAAAAGAGAAGAAGAAGAAGAAAGTGTCGACTGTGTTTTTGCTTCACTTGTGTCACTGAAATGTATTTGTCCCGCTCAAGTTCGTTTTGGGGAAGACAAAAGCATTTTTCATCCATGTTCCCTTCTGTAATTACTTCTTATGAGGATGATTCCTTTCCATACTTTATCCAGCCTATATAGTAATCAGGTCATCTAATTAGGCTACTATTGCGTTGGTTCTGCCTTGGTTCCCACTAGATTGTCACTATAGGGCCCCACAGGCTCCAGTTTTGCAGCTTTATTTTAGTGGTATCCAGGTCTGACAAAACACTGCATACTTTAAACACCCCAAAACTGCAAAATAGGCCCGGCAATGTGCATAAAAACATTGTTACTTATTTACATTCATGCCTTAAAATGTCTTCTGAGAAATACTTTCCTCGAAACCCCCCCCACACACACACACACGATAGCACAACAAAAACAACTGCCAGCAAGCAAAAATGCTGTGCTCTCCAGGCAATACTAACAAATGCATTTAACAGGTATGCTAATTATGAACAGATCATATCCATATTTGCATGGGGTGTGGGTGGCAGCAGACAAAAATGGTACAATTATATTACAGTCCCCACAAGCAATGTGCTTAGCTGCAGCTAATGCCTGGCTAATAAGCATAAAGAGAGGCACCCACTTTGTCTCTCTCTGTCTCCATCGCTCTTCACTGGGTTGCATCCTCCCCCTTTACTCTCCGTCACACTCCAACATGGCTGTCCTCTTGTCTTGTTGCTTTTTGCAGCATGACTAAACCCCTTCCACCACATCCTTTATCCCCGCATTTAAATAACAAATACAGTATGTACATATATTTATGAAACACGACCGATCCTCCCATCACATACGTGTTGGGTGGAGGTGTGTCAGCCTGATATGGTGAATCTCCCTCTGTAGGTAATCGCTGTTCTTGTACGGCTATGAAATGAAACATGCACAAACACAGAGACACGGGCCATAGTCATACTGCCGTACTGCTTCTACAACAGCTGATATAAGAATACGCAGTATTAGAACTACAATTAGTGCATACAGCCTTACTTTTTAATTAATGTATCATAACCAAACTGCCAACAACAATAAAAATGACTATATTTACAAATCATCTCTTTTCATATCATTCATATTCGTCTGCGTTTGTACCTAAAATATCTCAGTTATATATCGCTAGTGTGAGCTTTACTGGAGTCTACAGACTTTAGGATTCCTGACACATACAGTCATCAGACCAGGTGTAAGCCATCTTTCTGCTTCGCACTTCAGCCTTGCACACACCTACTCCCCCACCTTTAGAGAGAGCAAGAGAGCGGTGGGAGAGAGAAAGTGAGGTATGAAGGGTGTTGGGGGCTCTCCATCTCGGCGGGCCCCCTTGTGACAGGTCTGCCTTCTCATCACTCACTAGGGGAAACCTACTTACCAGTCAAATGCGCACAACCACGGACGCGCGCGCGTACGCACAACTGGCTGGAGAGCAGGCAGATTAACCTGAGGGACAGGAGCGAGGACGCTGCCTCTTACCGTGAAGGACAAACGCAGTGCTGCGTTGGAGAAGGGGAGGGGCCACCGGCAACAGGAATGAAATCCCACTGCATAAATATTCATGAGCCATCTCACCTGTCTGAACGCAACTCATCTGTGAGCCTAGCTGTGGAACCTGTGGGGGAGGGATGGGAGAGGAAAAGGAAGGAAGGAAAGAAGGAAGGGAGGTGACAGAGGGGGGTTGCTGTGGCAGCCACACTTCAATCCTTCCCACTCGTTAAAATAAGACATGATGCGCTCCGAGGGCTGCTCTTTGAACCCCGAACACACCCCGCTAAACTCCATCACCTGCTTCAACACACACACACACACGCACACACCCAACTTCACACATCAGCTCCCAGGTGAGTACCGCTGAGGGCGACCTGAGAGGTTTTTCACCTCCACAATGTCATTCCAGGCATCTTGCGCTGTCGCCTCCACTGCACACTTTTCTCCCGCACTCCGTTTTTCATTACAGACGCGGATGTCAAGGGAACGCACTTCGATTTGCAACATCCGGGTAATGAGAGTCCTTTAACGTAGACAGGATGCAGCTGAATGAGCTCTCTGCATCGGACCCCAGCTTTGTGGGTCTGAATTGTAATGCAGACTTTAAAAAAAACTGCAGACTTTAAAAAAAACGCAAAAAAAACCCAACAAAAAAAAGCCTGGTTTTTTTGTTTTTTCTCCTTCCACTCCTTGTGCTTGTGGGAGGCGAACCAGAGAGTTTTAGGCCTGGTTCAGTGCAGAAACAAAAAAAGCCACCCTGAAGCAGCGAGCAGTATTTGAGCTTCGTTTATTCCTCTCCGTGCTGCTGGAGAGGAATGGGGGACCAGTACGTGCATCGTAATGGACAGCTTTATGAAGATGGAGTGATCCGATAAGCTTCAGGGATACAAGGGCAAGCAGGTAACAATATGGACAGCCCCCACAACTCCCTCACTCCAATTTCTTTCCCTGGGAAACAAAAATGGAGGGGATGTGTGAGGCCTGTAACCATGGTTACCCATTAGCCCAGAGCCAAGTGATGCAGGATGCGGTTTAGAGGGAAAAGGCCAGTCGCTGTTTTGCATCAGTTCAGCTGGGAGGAGGAGCTTAGGTCTAAAGTAGGCTTCCTGCCGCTGCTTTCAGTTCCATTCAGCCCTCGTTCTGTTTGTCCCTGTTGCCGTCGATCCCGCTGAGGCTTGGAGCGCCTCACTGCAGGAACAGGGGAGAACAACTCATATCGAAGTAGTAGCGCTTTAAGAGGAATACTTGGATTTCCCCTGTGTTTTTACTTTTAACTAAAAGCTTAAGGCTAGTGGAGATACCGTGGCCCCGTCTGCCCAAGACCACCCAAATTCAAGTTTCCTTCCTGCCCAGTGGTTATAAAAAAGGAATGTAGTGAGCCAGGAAGTCAGCGTCCTTTGTAAGGCTGTGGAGCGGCATGGAGCCCCTTGCTACCTCAGCGGCTCCTAAGAGGCCCATCTGTGTGATGTCCATACACCAAGCTGTCCACCCCTTTCTATTCACCCGCATCACTCCCATCCAGCCCTCTTCCTTTTCCCTCCATTGCACCTTGAGTCCCCCCACTGTTTCTCCGCGTTAACCTATCCCCACCTCCCCTCTCTCCCCCTCTATCTGCCCGCCTGTTCCACCCACTCATTTCACCCTCTTTCTGTCAGGATACCCTTCTTTCACTTTTACTCTCTCCATTCTCCCCACACTCTATAATTTCACCCCATATGTCAGCTTTCCCTTTGTTCTTTGTCACTCACTTTCCCGTTACCCACCTTCTTCTCCACCCTCCGCGAGTCTCCCTCGCCCTTATCTTTTCTCCCATACTCCTCACCTTATTTCTCTCTGCCTGTCTGCTTTATTAAAATATTCTGAATTGAATGAGCAGTGGCAGGCTGCTCGTGCGCTGGCCTGTCTGTCAGCCTTCCTGGTTGAGTTTCTGACCGACAAAGACCCCCGAGGTGTCAAAACACCTCGCTGGCTATCTTACCGCGCAGAGCTGTGACCGTGCTGGATGTGAATCACATCTGGGTCATCTGGCAACATTTCTTTAAATCCATTTTGCTGTCTTTCTTCTGTTGGCAAGATGTCCGTTTGGAAGATGTGAAAACAATGCAACTGACATTCAGACTTAATGTATTACAGATACAGTCCTACTGCAGATAGGCAGTGGTTAATGGACCCGCGAAATGCCACTTAAACCCCTAATATTGGATGGAGGCCCACTTGAAATGTTCCGCCATAGAAAATAAATGTTCCCATCTCTCATTTTCAGCCTCTATCCTTTCAAATGCCTTTTTAATGAAGTAGTTAAGCCACTCCATGATGTACAACCAGATACACATACAAATACACACTTGGCAGCCATTTTTAGAGACATTAAAATGCCTAGAAGGACCCTGCCAGTATACACCAAGATGAGCTAAAGCCTATAATGATTAAACAACCTTCATTTAAACCGCGAGCATTGCAAAGCTGCTCATCAATTAGCGTGATTTACTGTGGCGTCTCTGGACGTAGCTGCACCGTGGCAAACGCCGACTTGGTGTCCTACTCTAGGGTAGACCTTCCTTCATCACACCCTGGGGATGAGTCGTGGCAGAATAAACAGCCATTTGGACCCTCGTCGCTCTCCGCTGTGACTCCTTTCCGTGGAAATATGCGGCTTGAATCAACGCTCTGATGACACACAGCCATCTGTTGTTGTCTTAAGTGTGTTAGGGCATGAAGTGGAGAGAAAACACACAATGGCAGATCTTCTTCTTCTTCCTTTTTTTTTTTTAAAATACAAAGCTGATAGTACACAAAGTGTGTAGCTGTCATTTCACTTAAAGACATCCACACACAATCAAATACGCGTACGCCAGTGCAAAAAGCGCACACCTCCTCCCTCGGTCCCCAGAGTCGCCCATCCTGAAATAGCAGAACTGAGGCCTTTTCAGTTTTTCACTTCATAGAACAGAGCTGGGGAATCAAATAAATAATAGACAAAGAAAGAGGGATAGTGATAGGACGACAAGTCAATGCATCTTTTCTCTGCAACAGCGTGGTGCACCTCTGAATCTCTTCCATTCTCCGTGCAGCGTAGAGGACCAATAGATTAAAACTGCATGGCACACACTGCGAAAATGAATAGCGCTAAAAATACATCCTTTTCACTGAGACATGAAAGGAAACTGCCTTTCCCCTGTCCAGTATTGAGCAGCCATTGATTCCAAGACAAAGGCTACACCTCCTCAAAGAGGTAAGAAAAATAGCAATCATACAGGCAATTATTTTCAAATGTGCCTGCAGCGGCCGATAATGTCAGCGCGCCTCTCTTACTAAATAAAGGGAGGGAAGGCAGGCGTCAAAGCTGCAGGCCCACTGCCGAAGACAAATGAGCCCATCCACAGAATGCTTTGCTTTCATCTGGGCAGCATGACATGGAGCCCCATGCAGTGTGAGGAAGAGCCGGGCCCGGGGGAGAGATGCACACAGACAGAAAGAATATAGATTCTCTATTTAGCTCTGTGGAGACAACACCGAAGCAAAGACCTTCTAAGACCAATGGCCAGATTGCCAGTGGCTCTCTAGTAGCTCTGCCACAGACAACAATCGCTGGGCCTCCACAGCCTATAGCGCATTTCTTTCTATGAAGCAGCAGCACACGGTAGGCCTTTATAGCCCGACCTTTTTTATAAAGACAGAGACTCTCGCTCTTTCTCTCTCAAGGAAAGTGCTTCAGACCCAGGCTCTTTCATTTTGATGAAGAGCAGCATCTGAGGAGAAGGGGTTAGAAAGCTCTCTGCTGGGTCTAGCCCTCCTCACTGCTGAAATACTCCAGTGTTTTGAATAGAAATCTTCACTGGAAATACTTCAAAGGAGGAAGAATCCAGTGGCAGCGATGAAAGGGAGGGGCGAGGGAAGGAAGGGCTACGTGAACGCAAATAAGAAGGGCAACCTAAGAAGAAGTTGTTGAAATCAGATAGGACAGATGCACACAAAAAAGACGTTGTTTCCTTTTTCTTCTCCGTCTTAGAAACCATTACCGTGCTACTATGTAAACCACCCCTGGCTGTCAGGATTGCTTATGCCCCAGATTTCTAAAGATAACAGACTGAGAGAGAGGTAGAAAATGGAACCAGGAAAGCATGGATAAAGGTAGAGGTGGATGGAAGGAGCACTAGGGGTGAACAAAATGAAGTGAAGATAATGCCGGAGGATGACCGCCTCACCTGCATCGACTGCTACTCATGTGCTGCAGTGGAAAGCCCTGCGGTCCATGCCTAAAGAACCTAAAGCCCCTTCTTGGCCTATCAGTTTAAGATCAAAAAGAGCTTGCTTTAGCGAGACATATGGACTGAATAATGCATCTGCTTTAGTTCCACAAGGCTGGACAGGCTGAGTGCCAGAAAGAAAAGGAAGCAAATGTGTCTGCCATATATTCCTTTATGTTTATTATGAATGTATATATGAGACTGTATACGTGCCTGTCTCACAGTCATGATGGTGTCTGCTAGGTACCAGTTTTCCTATAAGCCAACTAGCCTCTCCACTCTGTCAGTCATTGTGATGGGACAGTGAACACTTTTTCCTGTAGCGTGCCAAAAAATGGGCTGCTGTGATGTCTCATTTGAATAGTCTGACAGCCAGGGGTAGAGAAGCGGCCTTGTAATGAATTATAAATACAAGGTGGGTGCAGGTTTCCCCGCAAACTGCTGAGAAAAGGTGAAGCACAAAGTCAAGTTCAGTCGAAAAAGAAAGCAGGCTTGCAACCTGCCAGGTATTCGCTCCTCTTCAGCAAACCAAAAAAACACAGACAAACAAGCAGTTTGGGTTTTTTTGTTTTGTTTTTACAGCACCTCGGTGTGTAATGACTATTCACCCGCTGCAAGTGAAAGAAAAACTTTATCTAGCCTGTAAAATGTGGGACCAAGAGAGGGAGACAAACACAAGCTTGTGTAGGAGAGCAAATCCTGCTCACATGCAGTGATTCTGGAAAAATCCTTTGGAATCAATAAGCCAGATGTCTCTGATGTTTTCTAAGCAATATCAGTCCAAGGGAGACAAAGGTCCTGCTCTGTGACCTGCAAGGCATGTTGTTGCCCTTTTAAGTCAGTCAGAGAGGGTGTGAAGGACACCACTGGCATCCCACAGGCCTGACACAGTTCTACTGCTTGGCTTGAGCATTACATACCGTAGAACTGCCACGTCTCAGAAGGGATATATGACCTTATAAATCCTCACCACAGAGTTGAGTAACAATTTCATCTGCAACAGTGGAACAGCCAAAAACCTCACTGCACTGTCTGCCTCGTCTTCTTTTATGTCTTCTTTCGGCCGCTCCCTTCAGGGGTCACCTCCATTTCACTCTTTGCCTAGTAATCTCCTCTGTCACACCACCCCTCAAATGAGATCTCACTACACCATCTTGTAAACCTTTCCTTTCACGCTTGCTGCTATCCTTCTATCACAAATCAACCCTTGACAGGTGCCTGCACCCACTCCACCCTGCCTGCATTCCCTTCTTCACCTGTCTTGTCCACTGTCCATTGCTTTGCATGGTTGACCGCAGGTATTTAAACTAATCCAGGTATTTAAACCTCATCACAGAAAACTTCACTGCCAAAAAACCTTAAATGCAGTTACTGCAGCATGGACGTCTTCTTTTTCTTCTGCTTCTTTCAGCTGCTCTCTTCAGGGGTCATCACAGCGAATCATCTGCCTGCATCTCACCCAACCCGTAACTATCCTCCACTGTCAACACATCTTTGTGCAGGTCCTCCTTCACTATATGCATTAAATCTTCCATCCAATACGACAATGTTGTTATTAAGACTAATACGCCATCTAGTGGCAATCTTATGACACTACAAGGCTAACGTGCATATGAAAAACTCAATACAGAGAAAGAAGACATGTCACATGCATTGGCACTGAACTAGCATTAATAACTATTTAAAAGTGAAAGAAGCAGTAGTTAAACAGTAGTTAAAGCTGTAGATGCTAATGTTAGCACACGTGTTAGTTTACCTGTCCATGTCTTCTGCTCTGGGATTAAGTAATATTTGTTCCCCAAATGATCGGTCCCGACGTGCTCGCGTACTACTCCGAAGCCACGCCGTAGGATTGCAGCAATCCTGCTCATCTTATAGGGTTACCCAAAGCCCCTGTGTATGAATATGTATATATAAATATAGTTTAATGCAGCTCTATCCGCTGTTTGTCCTCTCACGGTGATCGTTTATGCAAGGGTTCATGGGTTGGGAACAGAATGAACAAACTAGTTTGTGATTGGGTGACGGTATCAGACCCACCAATCATCGCATCTGTAGTTGAATGCTTTAGAATCCAACATGGCGGTGACTTGTTTTGAATTCTTGAGAGGCCACTTAAATTTCTTTGAATTATAAGCAATGAATTGTAAAAATATCACGATGGAAGTATTTAAGTTGGGTATTTTTCTATTTCATATCGTGTAATGTTTTACAGGACGTCCCGAGACTTACTTTGGATTAAAACGTCACTACATTGTGGGTAACATGTTAGCTTTTGAACTGTAACGCGGTTTAAATACTGGCTAACTGTTAAAACAGAAAGAAGTTGTCTTCATGTTGAAGCTATGTTGGGCTTTCTGACAGCCAGGCGGGCTGGTCTGGATGACCCTCTGAGACTGAGACGAGCGGAATCAACGAGAAGGTAAGAGAGAAGCTCTTATAAACATAACTAGCAAGAAGAAGTCCACAGCAAGCTTTGGACTAATAAAACTATGAAATCGAAATTATACCGGTACTATATGAACATTATGTAACATAACAAGCATCTTAGTTAATACACATACATGAGGTTTTGTTTATAAATAGTTCTTAACTATTGTTAGCATCATTGCTGTATTACATACGACTCTCGAATCTGTGCCAGACTTATTATGTTTTGGAAATTCCTACAAACTGAAAAGTTATTTATTTTAACAAAAGAAAGAAACACTAACTCTAGATTTAAGCGCCTTAGTCTGTGCCATTGTTTGTTAATTCATCTCTAACGTTTTAGAGTTAGTTAACTACTTAGGTTTCAGTTTGCCTTCATGCATTTTTACATTATAATATGTGTGACTCACTTAAGAAACCCAGCGATCTCTCTCTTTCCAAAGGGTCCTCGGCCTGCAGTTGAATCCGGACAGAGATGTGGACCGAATCCATGGAAATGGCATTAATACCATTGACATTGAAGCAGTTGAGGGAAGATAGTAAGTCTGAGTAACATAGTAAACAAAGCTTAATCTATCCATTTTCTTAATCACTTATTCAGTTCTTTCATACAAACTCCAGACAGAAAGACCCCCGTTCGGCCAGTGGATTCGAACCCAGACTGTGCCATTCCCATGTCCCATACAGGTTCATAAAATAATTCATTAATATCCCCCCTTGGAATGTTAATTCTTGCAATATTGCAGTGATTGGGATGTTGCATAAAAACAACAAAAAATAAGCTCTATTGGAAAAATCATGCAGCAAAGTAAAATTTATCTGACTAAATAACTTGCTGTCCTGACACAGAGATAAATATCTTAACCATAGGCTGTGAAAGTTGTAATATTTAATTTCTACACACACTACATTGCGATCTTTCGGAAGACAACCTTCACTGCTGCTGATCCCGCTTGAGATCTACCATAACCTGTCTCTGGACATTTTCATAAAATAGTTGAAATGCCAACTATTCACTGAGGCTTTGACCTTAAAACTTTGTGTGTAAAGCAACCTTGGGTTCTCTGTAAAGGTCTGAGAGTTTATTATTATTATTATTCATATTATTATTATTGTAGGTAACTATTGAGGTTTGTTACTAAGTCCTTGCAAATTTGGATATCTGCCGATACCGATATGAATCCGTTATAGTGTTATACTGTTTTTTTTATATCTTGCTGCATTTTGTATAAGTTCATACTCAAGTTTAAAAAACAACAACAACAATACAGGGAGTGCAGAATTATTAGGCAAGTTGTATTTTTGAGGAATAATTTTATTATTGAACAACAACCATGTTCTCAATGAACCCAAAAAACTCATTAATATCAAAGCTGAATGTTTTTGGAAGTAGTTTTTAGTTTGTTTTTAGTTTTAGCTATTTTAGGGGGATATCTGTGTGTGCAGGTGACTATTACTGTGCATAATTATTAGGCAACTTAACAAAAAACAAATATAGCTTGCCATCACCAGTGCATGAATGTGTGTGTGAATGGGTGGATGATTGTGTATAGTGTAAAGCGCTTTGGGGTCCTTAGGACCAAGTAAAGCGCTATACAAATACAGACCATTTACCATTTACCATATACCCATTTCAATTATTTATTTTTACCAGTGAAACCAATATACCATCTCCACATTCACAAATATACATTTCTGACATTCAAAAACAAAACAAAAACAAATCAGCGACCAATATAGCCACCTTTCTTTGCAAGGACACTCAAAAGCCTGCCATCCATGGATTCTGTCAGTGTTTTGATCTGTTCACCATCAACATTGCGTGCAGCAGCAACCACAGCCTCCCAGACACTGTTCAGAGAGGTGTACTGTTTTCCCTCCTTGTAAATCTCACATTTGATGATGGACCACAGGTTCTCAATGGGGTTCAGATCAGGTGAACAAGGAGGCCATGTCATTAGTTTTTCTTCTTTTATACCCTTTCTTGCCAGCCACGCTGTGGAGTACTTGGACGCGTGTGATGGAGCATTGTCCTGCATGAAAATCATGTTTTTCTTGAAGGATGCAGACTTCTTCCTGTACCACTGCTTGAAGAAGGTGTCTTCCAGAAACTGGCAGTAGGACTGGGAGTTGAGCTTGACTCCATCCTCAACCCGAAAAGGCCCCACAAGCTCATCTTTGATGATACCAGCCCAAACCAGTACTCCACCTCCACCTTGCTGGCGTCTGAGTCGGATTCTTCTCATTACAGAGATGCACATCACCTAATATGCTTAATTGGTAGTAGGCTTTCGAGCCTATACAGCTTGGAGTAAGACAACATGCATGAAGAGGATGATGTGGACAAAATACTCATTTGCCTAATAATTCTGCACTCCCTGGAAAGCTATTCTGTTATACCTGTATGCAAAAAAAATAGTTCATAGTTTCGCAATACTGATCAATCTAATAAACTTAAACCTACACCATCCTCCCTATTCTGGTATTTTAAAGAGTATTTAGTGTAAATATTAAGCAACCTAACTAATAAGGTTCCAACTCCCAGCAAAAAAAAAAAAAAAGGGAACCACCCCTCACGCTCCACCTCATGATGCTTAATCGACATAATCAACCTTTTTTTAATTCTCTCCGATATCCGATCCAGTAATTTAGGTCAGTATCGGACCGATACGTAATATCGGATCGGTCCATCTCGACTGTATAGTTTTAAAATGCTGCAGAATCACTGTCAGTGGTTCAATGATAAGTATGTAAGTAAGTAAAAGTAATTTATTTTGGCGCTTTTTAAGACAAGAACCAATCCGAGAACTATAGTACATTACAGAGGCATTACAAAAGATGGTCAAAATACAGACCAGAATCAAGTAAAAACAATACAAAAACATTACCCAAGTGCTTGATGTTTTTTTAATCTGTTTAAGACCTTTGCAGCTGTAAAAATATAGGAAATAAGTCTTAAGATCCCAAAGGGGCAATTTATTTCAGCAAGACAGATTAACATATAAAAGCAATGACAACAAAGCAAAACCCAATAAAGTAGAAGTAAAGATAACAATATAAGTATATTTACGTCACATTAAACACTCATTTAACCCTTAGATGATACTATTCATAGTATTGAAACGTTCCTGCACTGTGACTTGACTGCTCTGGAAATTCACATTTTTAACAAGTAACCCCAATCTTTGTTAGTTAGTATAGTGAATATGAAGGCAGAAGTCTGGTTTCAGAGGGTGAGCCTGATGATTAAATCTATGTGTGTATATTTTACAAGGTTTGTAAGACGAAGTAAAAAAAAAAGTATTTCAGATGACATTTTTTCTGCTGTTCAGCATGCTGTCTGGAGGTGCAGACGGAGTAATCGTCATATATGACCTGGAGAACTTCAGTGGCAAACTACAGTACACCTGCAAGGCAGTCTGCACAGTAGGAAGGTAAATGTTAGCCCATTTACTAATTCCATCCACTAGAGAGTAGCATTTTATTGCGGGCTGTACACACAGTGCTGTCCCCAGCTACCTACAGCTTTTTGTTTTGGCTATAAAATATACACAGAAACTAGAAGAGATCTACCACAGTAAATCTGAAATTAAATAATCAAGATGCAATCAAAACGCAGACCTTCACCCATTAACCACTGAGAAATTACAGCTGTTGTTTAATACCTTCCCATAATTTTACGAGCTCAAATGGATTTGGATAAATTAGCGTAATCTTAACTAAAACGAATGAGTGTTGAATGGGTTTGAGAATAGTTTCCTTTTGTGAAGTTTTGCCAGGCTTTTACAACAGCTGTCTACAGTTGTTTTGTCTTTATCAAATAAAACGCATCTTTAATTGTGTTGAGATTAGGGGATTCACGTTGCTACTACAGAATACCACTCTTATAAATAAACTTCCAGCTTGTTTTAATAGTTTTTTGGGAACTGCGCATCTGTAACGTGAAGTATCATTGACTTAGCGTTGCTGCATTTGATTAAATCTGAAAAGAAATCACATCTGTGCAATACCATTCAAAATGTTATCAATCTGCTTCTGTCTTCAATAAACACCAATACCCAGTGCTATTGGAAACCATCTATTCCCATGGATCACACTGCAGAAGTTGTTCTACGCTTCAAATGCTGGACCTACAGAACGTTCTTCTTGCATTTTGGAACAGGTTAATCTGAGTTTCATGCTCTGGTCATGAGCATGAAACTGATAACTGATAACTGATTAGGAAATAAAGACATAGCCTACAGCCATCCATGATACAGGTTTTAAGCAACTTGTTTAGTTGTGTGTATAAAAATGTCTCTAATTCTTCAGTTCAGTATTTTTATTCATCCGCTTCAGTTTAAGGTTTAAAGTCTGCATTTCAGGTTCATCTTGATTATTTTATTTCAGTTTCAGCTGTCAGAGTTAAGAGCCAAAAATGTGAAAATTGTATCAGCGTCCAAACATTTATAGAACTAACTGTACATGAGAGTTTTTTCTCATTTCTTACAGAAAACATCCTGCGCTATCTGGTTTTGTCAATCCCAAATCAAAAACATGACACATGGCTTTCACCC